CTTTGTGTGCTACATGGAGTGTGGCGACTTGAACTGGTGCACATCGGTGCAAAGTTCGATGTCGAAAACAGACAGACAGAAAATTCATACTTGAACATTCACACGCACACAAACGGTGAATACTTATGAACACACCTATATAGCAAGAGGAGCTGAGACTCATAATGGTATTTAGATAAGCCTTGATAGAAGGATGCATACTGTTGAAACGTCTATGAACACCATGTTGTCGGCCGGATTTTCCCTGCGAACAACTGTAAGTAAGAAAATGACAGGATTCAGTAGTAAATAACTCCTTGAATTTTCCTTGAAAGTGAGTTTCCGGTTTACGTTTTATTTTTGGTAATTGTATTTTACAATGATATTTTTGCTACAGTTTTCGTTGTTGTCGCTGCCTTCCGTGTTGTGACTTTTGTTATTTCGATATAAAAAGAAAGACCAGATTTGCAGTATAGAATGATATCATTCTATTTCACAGGTTCTTATCATCAGCTTCTGCAAACTACCTGAAATTACAATGATTATAAATAATAATATTTCATACATAATAATATTTCATAATATTTCATTGTTTGAAAGGTAATAGAGAAAACATTATAAGGTGAACGCATCTGGAGTATAGTCCGTTGGTGGTATAGCGGTTAGGACGCTCGCCGACCATGCACATGGTCCGGGGTTCGAGCCCCGGTCGACGCACTCCTTTACCTCGCTAAGCCAGAAATAATTCGGGTAAAGAGAAAAGGTTGGGCATGAGGCTAGCAACCCCATCCTGTAAAATAAAAACACTGCTACAGAAACTTCAAGCCACTAGCTTGAAGCCCTATGTTCAACTGGGGAACGTGAAGGAAAAATTAATTTATTATTTAATTATCTGGAATATAAGTATTATAATTTATAGTTTAAGTTACCATCAGTTAATATACTATCAAATTATGAAAAAAGAAAAAGGGGGTGAGAGAAGACAGAAAAATCTATTAAACAGTGTCGACATGGCAACACAAAAAGGTCAAAGTTCACCAATTTGAAAACTTGCTTAATGAGTTGAGCCCACTAGTGTGTATGAATAATCGGTGCAATGAAAGTGATACGGTTACCAAGATAGTGAGAGATTGACTACATTCTCTTTCTGTGTGCATAAGTTTGGACTGAGACGTTTGATTGCAAATGCTTCAGCAAATCGTAGTAGATTCACTGTCCTTTGTATGTTTAATATTTTGAAAGATTTGGAAATCTCGATAAATTGACCTGTATCCACAAGCTGTCTGGTAAGTGCACTTTGTGAATATCTGCTTCCTTTTTAGGATAAGTTTCTCGGAATATGCTCTGAAAACCGGAGAGAAACCATTCTTTCTCTCCAGCAGCAAGTAGATTGGAAGGACCCTTTCATTACACTGATTAGTCATACACACTAGTGGGCTCAACTCATTAAGCAAGTTTTCAAATTGGTGAACTTTGACCTTTTTGAGTTGCCATGTTGACACTGTTTATTAGATTTTTCTGTCTTCTCTTACCCCCCCCCTTTCTTTTCTTTTTTCGTAGTTTGACAGCTTATAAATTGATGGTAACTTAAACTATAAATTATAATACTTATATTCCAGATGCGTTCACATTATAATGTTTTCTCTATTGCCTTTCAAACAATGAAGTATGAAATATTATTATTTATAATCATTGTAATTTCAGGTAGTTTGCAGAAGCTGATAATAAGAACCTGTGAAATAGAATGATATCATTCTATACTGCAAATCTGGTCTTTCTTTTTATATCGAAATAACAAAAGTCACAACACGGAAGGCAGCGACAACAACGAAAACTGTAGCAAAAATATCATTGTAAAATACAATTACCAAAAATAAAACGTAAACCAGAGACTCACTGACAAGGACCCACTTCAGCATGTAAATCCATTAATATGCACAATTTTAGACATAAACTAGTGCTAAACAGTCACAAAATGTAGAACAGTTGGTTATAGGTAATAATAGTCACAACAATATTCTACCTTTAGCTATAAATTCTCTTTATAGCACAACTTTGGAGTATACTTGAGTAATTTTCTTCTGAACTACTCAAGGATTCAAGTGTTGCTTAACCAAGTAGCTTCCTTAGATTAGTATTTTAAATTACCTTCTCGACTAAAAAAACCCGCATCCAATGTAGAGAATTAAGTTTTAAATAAAGTACACTACACTATATTTTAAGGATGATGGATAATTATCACTTTACAGCATTAGGATATTAAAAAAATACTCCTGTAGATAATTAAACTGACTCAGTAAATAAATCATTGAAAACTTCCTGTCTGTTGTTTATATCACTCATTGATAATAATAGTGAATATTTTGTTAAGATTAGTGTAAATCCCTGCGACCTAGCAGTAACTCAGGTGTTTTTATAATTAGAATTTGTGAGCCATTGAGTCGGGTCCCAGTGGCTGATAATCTACGAGCTTGCCTTGCAAATGGAAGGTCGGGCGGTTCGATACCCAGTGGGCGCGTACTGACAATGAGTCCAAAACTAAGATGAAAAACAGATGTCCCCTACTCCAATGATGGTTTTCAATGGTTCTCTAACTCATATCAATCCGTCGCCTAACTCGGAAAACAAATCCAATCCTTACAGATGAACCCTTGAAAATTAAACTAATTCACTAAATGGCTTCTTTACAGGATACTTTTCAAAAGTCTAGACGACGAAAATTTTGTGAAGATAAAGTGTATACGAATTATTAACTCAGTTAACTTGACACACAATGAAATGAGTATTGTATGTTCGGGTGTGATGAGTGCTACTTATAATCAGATATAAGTAGTATATCAGTAAACCAACCTAAAAAAGTAACAATATGATTAGGGGCAATGGAAAAAGCGATCGAAGAAGAAAACTGTGCGAAGAACGCTACAAACACTGTACAGAATCCAACAAGCTATCCAAAAATGTGGTGATATTCGACCAATTCGAGAATGATGTGAAAACTTCATCATGAAAAACGTCATGAAAACTGGATGAAAAACGTTGACCGGAACAAGCTGGATTCAGGAGAAACAAGTCATGTATTCATCAAATCGCCACTCCACGGATCGTCACTGAACAAAGCTTAGAATGACAGTCACCTCTCTATCTCAACTTCATCGACTTTCAACAGGCTTTCGACAGCGTTGATCGAGAGGCCATTCGGCAACTACTTCGCTACTATGGGGTCCCATCGAAAATTATTATGCATCTCATTCAACAGTTATACGACAATGCTGCATGCCAAGTAATCCACAACGCGAAACTTACGTAATCCTTAGAAGTGAAGACATGAGTAAGAAAAGCTGGCTGTCTACTATCGCCAATAATTTTCCTGATTGCAGTAGATTGGATAATGAGACAGAAAATGGGCGATGAGGAAAAAGACATAAAATGGACTCACACAAAAAATTTCGAGGATCTGGACTTCGCCGATGATATATGTCTGATTTCCCACAAACTGGAAGATATGCAAGTGAAAAGAGACAAGCTGGCAGAAGAAGCATCAAAGATACGACTTCCTTCAAGTGAACATAGATAAAACAGAGGTGATGAAGATTCCTGGCCAACACCAACAGCAACAACAACACTAACAGACAACAATCAGCCAGAATAAATGGGAGGAACCTGAAAGAAACAACCTCTTTTACCTACGGACCTACCTGGGAAGCATCGTTTCAACTACAGGCGGAACTGACGAGGATATCGAAGCCAGAGTCGGAAAAGCAAGACAAGCTTTCATTACTCTCAAGTCTGTGTGGAGGTCAACAGTACTCAGTGTCAAAAATAAGATCCGGATTTTCAACTCCAATGTGATGTCAGTCAGTGCTACTATACGATTGCATCAGAGACTTGGTCAGCGCGTAATGAAGAGCACCTCAAACAAACTACAGACCTTCATTAACAGTTGTCTTCGCTCAATACAGCTCAAGATCAGATGGCCTTCCAGAAAAGATCACCAACAGGGATCTCTGGCAATGAGCGAACCAACTCAGCAGGAACCGATTGTGAAACAAATATTCAGGAAGAAATTGAAATGGATCGGCCATACTCTGAGGAAACCATCAAGTGACATCACTAGACAAGCCATCGCTCGAGTGGAACCCGAAAGGGGATTCGGCGGGTTGGTCGTCAGTGACAGGGTAAGGTGACTTGGAGGATGTGATGTGAAGAGGAGATGAAGGCATGTGGGCAGACTTGGAGCCAGGTGAAAAGGTTGGCAGAGAACCAAACGTAATGGAGACTTGGTCGGCTGAAGCCCTGTGTTCCTCTAGGAATTAAAGGAAATAATGATAATAATAATAATATACCAAATTTATGCGCCTACAGTGCATTTGTCCTAATAAATCCTTGATTCCGAGCCTTATCAGTCTTCTCTTCTTTTAGAAACCCGCTTATCGAAGAAAACTAACATCGATACGTTCATATACAGAGTGTAGCACTCTGCAAATTGTGTTGATTTCATCATAATATATCAAAAGTCTTATCTATCTAGTATTCTACAAGCAAACGTACATGCAAGCGTATACAGCTTTGATAAACTTTGGTAAAGAAACCAAGAAACAAAAAGAAAACACAATTATTAGTTCAAATACACAAGATAAATTCAAAAAAAATAATACAACAAAAATACAATTTTGGAGGAATCTGAGAAAAGATAAATTAAATATCACAGTATGTATAAAATAGGGGTGTGTTAGGCTTCTTTTTAAAATCTGTTTCGCATACCAAGGGATAATACTGATTACATACGAAGTCATGAAGATGATATATTTAAGTAATACATTACTGATGGTAGTCATTCAATATATGTATAAAAAGACGCGCACACACACACAATAAATCAAATTAAGAAAGAAAGACAACACTATCATCTGCAAAAACAAATACAAAAAATTAGGGGAATTTATCACTATTTTATAATATCAATCTCAGTAGAAACTATTAACTGTACAGATTTTTGTGATTTGCTTTATTTTTTAAAAATTCTAACCAGTTAATTGAAAATTATTCTGTTCTAAATACTTATTGAATAACTTTTTCGCTCGATAGAGGATACGCGAAGAATTGTGTTTACCAGAATGTTGTTGATAAAAGTGGATAATATCTCCGGGTTCTTTAATCTCTGACATAATTATCTCTTTATATTCTAATATTAAAGATAAACAAAGGAATACTAGAAATGGATTACCCTGACCAAATTGATTCAACGGTGGTAACTGTGTTACACTAGTCTTGATTTGAATAGGTTCACTACTTTCACCAGAAAATGAAGGCAATCTACCCGATGATTTCCGATGATTATGATGATGATGAGAAGAAGGAGGATTATGTGAAGACTGTCGTCGACTCAGTGAATCTGAAAAATCTGATACTGATTCATCAGGGATTATTTCAAATTTAGTTTCACTGAATAATGCTTCAGACGAGGAATTACTGGCGGGGATTAATGTTTTAGGCGGTATACTGTTGGACAATTCATAACAAAAGCTGACATCAGATGCAGATGAAGGCGATGTGGGAGAAGAGGCAGACGGTGATTGAATCTCCAATTTACTAACATTTGAGTTAATTACAGCTGTAGACGATTTTCTCAAATTTACAACATAATTTGAACCTATTAACGAATTGATTAGACTGACATCTCGAGCTGTATAATGTTGCCAATCGGCAGCTGATGAAGAAGAATTTAATGTGTACAGATTACACGAAGTACCATCAGTGAGAACAAGATAACCTTCAGACTTTGAATTATAAGTTTCATTTTCAGCTAAATTATTATTAATATTATTATTTACAAGACATGAAGCTGCCCATTGTGATTCAAAAATACGCAAAGATTCACTGAAATTGAATTCACGTTTCAATTCTAAAATAAACCAACGTTGTGTGAAATACATATTGGCTAGATTATGTTCGCGGAAAAATTGAGCTAATTCACTATCTGTATACGTGAGTAGATCGTGTAAATCTTGCATATCATTAATTAACACAAACTGATATGTATCACTAAACTTGGATTTCACGCGTTGCATTAAAGCACAGAAACATAAATATGCTAACGCTTCATCGCCTTGAACAACTAGCAAGGGACTGGCCAAATCAGACATACCTATAGTAGAAATTTAGAAAAAAAAAATGAAACTTGTGATACTGAAATGATGGGTGTATTTTATAACTGAAGATGATATCACAATGATAATAATCACACAAGCTACAGCCCAGTAAGAGGCAGTTATCCGCATTATTCACAAAGGAAATTATAGTGCTTTCTTGAGAATATATGCATAAAGAAAATAAAAGACAAATCAGAGGAGAAAATTTTCTTTATCAACGAAATCATCTTTAGAAGTCGTACGGAGTCGTGTTAACATTAACCAAAAATGCATAGTAATCCATGGTTGACAAACATAGGGGTGAAATAATTGATTTGTCTACACTGCAGAGACTACCGAGGTGAAAATTTTTATTTCCTTTAATTCCTAGAGGAACACAGGGCTTCAGCCGACCAAGTCTCCATTGCGTTCGGTTCTCTGCCAACCTTTTCATCTGGCTCCAAGTCTGCCCACATGCCTTCATCTCCTCTTCACATTACATCCTCCAAGTCACCTTACCCTGTCACTGACGACCAACTCGCCGAATCCCCTTTCGGGTTCCACTCGAGCGATGGCTTGTCTAGTGATGACACTTGATGGTTTCCTCAGAGTATGGACGATCCATTTCAATTTCTTCCTGAATATTTGTTTCACAATCGGTTCCTGCTGAGTTGGTTCGCTCATTGCCAGAGATCCCTGTTGGTGATCTTTTCTGGAAGGCCATCTGATCTTGAGCTGTATTGAGCGAAGACAACTGTTAATGAAGGTCTGTAGTTTGTTTGAGGTGCTCTTCATTACGCGCTGACCAAGTCTCTGATACAATGGTATAGTAGCACTGACTGACATCACATTGGAGTTGAAAATCCGGATCTTATTTTTGACACTGAGTACTGTTAACCTCCACACAGACTTGAGAGTAGTGAAAGCTTGTCTTGCTTTTCCGACTCTGGCTTCGATATCCTCGTCAGTTCCGCCTGTAGTTGAAACGATGCTTCCCAGGTAGGTCCGTAGGTAAAAGAGGTTGTTTCTTTCAGGTTCCTCCCATTTATTCTGGCTGATTGTTGTCTGTTAGTGTTGTTGTTGCTGTTGGTGTTGGCCAGGAATCTTCATCACCTCTGTTTTATCTATGTTCACTTGAAGGAAGTCGTATCTTTGATGCTTCTTCTGCCAGCTTGTCTCTTTTCACTTGCATATCTTCCAGTTTGTGGGAAATCAGACATATATCATCGGCGAAGTCCAGATCCTCGAAATTTTTTGTGTGAGTCCATTTTATTCCTGTTTCCCCATTGCCCGCTGTTTGTCGCATTATCCAATCTACCGCAATCCGTAAAATCACTGGCGTTAGTAGACAGCCAGCTTTCCTTACCCCTGTCCTCAATACTCAACGGCACAAAGGAATAAAGCGTCAGAAACGTCATAAGGTTAAAATTGCTATTGAGTGAGAATAAAGATGCTTGAGTGTGAAGAGGGTGAGAAAATGTACAAAAAGAACATGTGGGAGGTAAAAATGAATTTATTATTAAAGTGAAAGCAAACTAGTCACTAAAAATAAAAATAAAATTTTTTACAGGAAACGACTAATGAAGAAGCTAAGACTACGGTGGAATAAGAGACTGGACAAACTTTTTCTGTATACAGAGTTCGGGGTGTATTGACGAAAAACCAGTCTTCGCCATACGCAAATGCCGAAACCTGACACCGCTTATATCATCCAGTCTCACCTGGTAGATAATTTTGAAAGACGACTCTAGTGAAGCTGTGTGACTTCAGTTCACCAGATGCTCAAACATAAAACCAGTAATTGTCTTTCCATTGTCCTTTTGCTAACCATGCCGGATAATGTTAAGAGATGTGTTTGGAGAGTATGCGCTTTCTGCGGCAAATGTAACCAGCTCCGCAGAAGCAGGTGAATTTATAAACACACACAAACATTGAAGTGGCCCAAAGAGACAGTTTATCTTTCACACATTCACTGACCATTTGTCGGCTGCAGAAATTGATTCATAGCTCAGTCGAAAAGAAGGATTTTCTCAGTGATCTGGATAGGCGGTGTTTTAGAATCTCAGAAGATGACTTCGTCGACAAAGAAAATTCTCTTCGCTGAATTGTCTTTTATTTTCTTCATGATTCAATAGGTATTTTCGGCAATATGTATCAAATCAAAAACCGAGTTCTCTCTCTCTCTCTCACACAGCAAGACAACCTAAACAAATTCCCGGTACAGATATTTATTATACGAGGCTATGCCCAATACTTATGGTATGAACGCTGATGATAATACCCCATTGCCTAATCTTAATTAGGTAGATTGCGGTTCGAGTACGTGAATCATTGGCTGTAAGTCTGGTGCTTAAGTCGTTGAACTGCATCTGCATTCCTATAAGACTGATTCATCCACTTTATCTAAAATCCAAATCCTAATATCAACATTAGACTTTAAGTGAAAAGTATCGTATATGTGTGAAACTGTAGTTGCTTTATTGTTTACCTTTGACTGCTTTTCATAAAGGGCATAAAAGTAAACTATCTGTCACACAGTAAGAGAAACGGTAATACCTGAAAGTTACAGATCTGAATTATTATGTCTGCTAAACATTGATACCAACTACAGAGATAATAATCACCTTAATTTACAATAGAAGTATGACAATTACTGAAGAGTGCCTATGATGACTGGACAGACAGAGCAAGATTCATTCGTTTGTACATCGTTTTACTTATTTTGGTAACAAATTTGAATAGAAACAGTAATGATTTTATTACTTTGGAACAATAATAAAGGTGTGGAAGTTGGCCATTGTTGTTGAATATACTTTCATGCAGTTTTTGATAGGTCCTGTTGACAGCATACAAAAAGTTACAGATAATGATGAGAGTACCAAATATTGTAGTGTGACGTATGCTACTCATAAGATTTAGCAGTAGTATGTAAAGAGAAGTTCATTAACAAAAAAACGCCAAATAGCAGGAAGATAGATTTGATCTCAGAGGCAGCAAATGATACAGCGTTGTGGACATAAACGGGAGTTACGAGAGGAAAATAAAGAAACACAATATGAAGGAAGGGACGGCAGAAGTAGCACAACACGGATTATTATTATTATTATTGCTATTCTTTCCTTTAGTTCCTACAAGAACATAGGGCTTCAGCCCCCCAAGTCTCCATTGCGTTCGGCTCTCTGCTAACCTTTTTATCACCTGGCTCCAAGTCTGCCCACATGCCTTCATCTCCTCTTCACATCACATCCTCCAAGTCACCCTCCCCAAAGCCTCAGGATGGTTAGGGTGGGTGCCTTGCGCTGCGGGTTGGCCACCCCTCCGTACACCTCTTGAAATGCTCCCATATGACCGGGCGTCTTACATAGCCTCTCCTGAGGAAGTCCTACTCACTGCCTTCACGTGGCGGAGGTGTTTATTTCACCGAAGTGAGAGGGTAAAAGCGGATGCCCGGCGCTCTTCACCGGGTTGACCGTCCACTGGATGGTAGTCTAGGGGAGATGGCTAAACCCTGATTCCAAACCTCCGACGACTGGCGTATGAAGCTCACCGGCAGACGTATGGACAAAGGGCTTATTGGATGCCCTGGATGTCTGGCCCCATTCAAAAAGGCGTATGAACCGGACTCCGGTCACCGGCTGCCAATGGATAGTGGACTCCCTACTCCACTCCTACTGCCTTGTAGATCACACTTGGTTGTGTAAAGGCTAGAGCTGCACTCTCAGACAAAAGGCCGAGCGATGCTGGTGACATCACTCGTACCTAATTCCCATGAAACTTCATGAACTCTCTTACAAACAACTCCAGATCTCCACGCCTGGGCAGCGATGATTCGAGATGTTCATGAAGCCGACTCATCCACCCGTAGGAGATAGCCGAAGTAAAGTAAAAAAGTAAGTCACTGACGACCAACTCGCCGAATCCCCTTTCGGGTTCCACTCGAGCGATGGCTTGTCTAGTGATGTCACTTGATGGTTTCCTCAGAGTATGGACGATCCATTTCAATTTCTTCCTGAATATTTGTTTCACAATCGGTTCCTGCTGAGTTGGTTCGCTCATTGCCAGAGATCCCTGTTGGTGATCTTTTCTGGAAGGCCATCTGATCTTGAGCTGTATTGAGCGAAGACAACTGTTAATGAAGGTCTGTAGTTTGTTTGAGGTGCTCTTCATTACGCGCTGACCAAGTCTCTGATGCAATCGTATAGTAGCACTGACTGACATCACATTGGAGTTGAAAATCCGGATCTTATTTTCGATATTGAGTGCTGTTGACCTCCACACAGATTTGAGAGTAGTGAAAGCTTGTCTTGCTTTTCCGATTCTGGCTTTGATATCCTCGTCAGTTCCGCCTGTAGTTGAAACTATACTTCCCAGGTAGGTAGAGGAGGTTGTTTCTTTCAGGTTTCCAGGCAAATTGTATTTTGAAGAAAAGGTGTACACAGTTTCGCTAAATAGCGATATCAAATTCTAAATAAACATTCCTTTACCAAGTCTCTCGTTACAATGGTAGCTAGACAGCAATAAATGCTAACCGCTGACAATAAATGAAATCAAACCAGTAATTAACTGAAAGTAAAACGCTTAGTTGTATTCTTCAGAAGGATCACCTTACCAATTTTAGAAGTAACACTATAATAAAATCATAAAATCCAGTAGAGCGGGAATTACAAAAGCAACAATACATAACAATAAAAAAAAATACTACCGACCTACCCTGGCTATATCCGATATTTGGATGATGGATACAATAAGTAGCGAGAATATCGAATAACTGACAGACACGGTGATGATTATCATCATTCCGATAATAGTCTTCTTCTGTAAGATATTAGAAAATAAAAAAGACAAAAAAATCAATACTCATGAGTGATAAGTCAAGCAGTATAATTAAAAAATACACATACCAAATGGACAACAATGACTACAAAGTACACACTTGTTTAATATGTTAAAACATGTTTGTTTGTTTGCGTTTTTTTCATTAGGCAGGAATGTTACTAGTAAATACCAAATAGAACTTTCCAATTTACCTATTATGGGGAATTCATTCTCGGTGTTGTAAGCGGTTGCATGCAGAAAACTTTGTGTTTAGTATGAACCAGTCTCATTAAAGTCCTGTAAGAAACTATATGCTTTTCTGTAGTTTGGTTTGTAAGGGTTAGTTCGGTTTTTACGAGTTGATCACGGATTGATATCAGTTAAAGAACCATTGAAAACCAGGGAGTACCGGACAGCTGTTTCATCCGAGTTTGGGAATCATCGGATTGGTAGAAATTAGAATTTACTAGTCATTGAATCGGGTCCCAGTGGCTGAATGGTATACCAGCCAGCTTGCCTTGTAACCGGAAGGTCATGGGTTCGAACTTTGGCGGTGGGTGCGTACTGCCGATGACTCCCAAACCAGGATGAAACAGCAGCTGTCCAGTACTCCCTGGTTTTCAATTGTTCTCTATCTGATATCAATCCGTGATCAATTATATGCTTTATTCCCTTGTTAAGTTTAAATGTGTGTAAATCTCTGTAATATAAATATTGTTTCATATGTCGTATTGTGGCGTGAACTACTGACAAGATTTTGTAAGTAGTATATTGTGTGTTGTATTCTTCGATGGATTTTGCCATATCTACAGATCAAAATAAAATAAACGATCTGCTACTAAGTACTACCGTGTTCTGTTGTCACAGTACGACAAAGAATTCATCATGTCGAGAAAGTACTTTCATCATAAGAGTGAAAAAGATGAGGTAGAAGAAGAATCAATGATATTTAATAAATCTATAATGACAAAAGCATCTACCCACCCAATGATACCTTGACAACATAACTATTTTTTTCAATCTTTGAATGTGTACTTCAAAACACAGACATTACTGAACATCAAAAGACTGAGTTGAGAAAGTCATAAACCTACTTTAACTAGACAATTAAGAGTATTTCACAAGTGTCTATCAACTGGCTAACTAGAAACAGTTTCGAATGAGTTGCGACTAGTATTACGAGTAAAACTTTAGAAAGATGAGGTTAATATCTAAAACCAATCCTGCCTTCATCAACCTAAAACCAGTTTGGGAATCTTCTTCATCCAACCAAGAAAAAAGAATAAAATTCGGATTTTCAACACGAATGTGAAGTTAGTCAGTCAATTCTTCAAAACGGGTCAGGAACTTGCACTGCGCGTCACATAAAGGATTTCCAACAAGTTACACACTTTTATTAACAGCTGACCCCTTCTCTGGTTCCATGCCGGAGATCAGATGGCCAGCCGGCCAGAAACAATCAGCAACAAAAAACTCTAGCAGCAAACCAATCAGAAGCCGATCGCTGAATAAATACGTAGGAGAAAATGAGGATGGATTCATCGGGCATACATTTAGGAAACCATCGAATGACATCGCGCACAATGCAAGCCGTAGCTCGAGTGGTTGATGAGTGAGTCGTCAGTGCGAGGGTGAAATGGAGGAGATCGTGTGGGGAGGAGATGGAGATTGTGGTCCACTGTGGACATAAAATAGAAAGAAGTGGAAATGTTTTGTTCCATTATGGATAAAATTTTATTTTGATAAGTCACACAGTAATATTAACTGATGACAATGTTTCAAACACAAATGATTGCTCATAAACATATCAAGTCACTCACACAACGTTTTCCCTTGATTTATATACATGTGTGGAATTGACTAGATATTTAAATAAAAGTCAGTATAGGTTAATGTACACTCAGAAATAATAATAATAATAATAATATGAGTGTTATTGATCAATTACAATCAGATGGGAAATAAGACGAGTGTTTTTATAGTCATAATAATAAGTAACTTGTAAGAATGTTGTGATGTGCTTGAAATGAAATAGAATTTTGACATTATTTATTATCCACCTCTGACTTGACTGGCGGTAATAGTATCTTCCATATTTCTGGTACTTGCATCGAGTCATTCCATATCTGTGGTTGGGGTCCTCGGGACGGTAAAAATCAATGGTTTGAAACAATTGGTGACATGGCTCAAAATCTTTTTCAGTGGCGCAGATGCATCCACCCCTTGTGACTTATGATTTCCAATGAAACTGTTTTGTTCTTCGTTATTACTCTCTCTTTGTCTCACACCTCTGCTTACTGTCTCTATTAGGCTTTTCTTGTACTTTCTTCTCTTGCTTTGTATCCTTAAAGGAGTGAAGTGTGGAGACTTGAACTGGTGCACATATGTGCAAAGTTCTATGTCGAAAACAGACAGACAGACATACCTGTGGTATTTGCACTGAGTCATTTCTGTTGCATGTGTTGGGTGTAGACTGAATGAACCAGGATTTAGTAATCAACCTCTCTCTCCACCTACAGATTACTTTTTAGAATCTTAACCCTCTCCCACCCTGTTGTGTGGTTGTGCGTTAATGCATACATGTAGTGCGATTGCTGAGTTTTTCTCTAAATTACTTATCTTCTCGGGGTCAACCATTCATACCTCAGCTAAATTCCTATGTTTCGACAATCTGTCGACCCCCGATCTCCTAGTTTGACCTATGTAGTTGACTAGTAGACCGGGGGTAACCAGATACCACAGATATGGAAGATACTATTACCGCCAGTCAAGTCAGAAGAGGATAAAAAATAATGTCAAAATTCTATTTCATTTCAAGCACATCACAACATTCTAACAAGTTACTTATTGTTATGACTATAAAAACACTCGTCTTATTTCCCATCTGATTGTAATTGATCAATAACACTCATATTATTATTATTATTATTATTTCTGAGTGTACATTAACCTATACTGACTTTTATTTAAATATCTAGTCAATTCCACACATGTATATAAATCAAGGGAAAACGTTGTGTGAGTGACTTGATATGTTTATGAGCAATCATTTGTGTTTGAAACGTTGTCATCAGTTAATATTACTGTATAACATCACTGTATGATTTATCAAAATAAAATCTTATCCATAATAGAGTTATACTCTTCCACAGTGCCCAAGTTTTATGCTTATATCAAAAATGTTTTGTTGAAGTCCTATTTTCATCTTGAAATCCAAAGGAGTAATAATAATAATACAGTAGTCACACTATGCTGAATGAATGTGTACAACTTGTATGGGTTGAGTTTAGGAGGATATGAAAAATCCCAATGTAATTGTAATTAAGAACATAAGTCAGCAAAGAGATTTATTTTTATAACTGCACTTTTGTAAGATAGTTTATTTAGCAAAATAACTCAAAAGTAACCATAACTAACAAACAACAAGTGCCCACGCGACATGCTATAAATCTTATACACACTGTGACAACATGAATTAATACATTAGTGTAGTAGTACTACAGTTCAAAAGACAAATTGTCAACCATACAGAAAAATCTTTAATGTCATATATGTGTGAGTATACTTGACAGTGAAGTTCTTCTTTCGCACTTGCACTCACAGGCAAATGTAAAACTTTTAAATCGTCCAAAGTGCATCTAACAATTTACTGCTATTTAGTGTCAATAAATTTTTTTTGATGGATAAGCAAGATCCAATACGGTAGGTAATAACCATGATAGTTATTCACTGCCGTGGAAAAGGGAAAAATAATATCTTTTTGTAATGATTCATTTTCAGTTAACAAATATATGTATAAAGATGTTTGTAGTTTGTGGAAAACTTAGTCATTTATATGCAGGGAATTCACACGTGAAGACATGGTTAGCTGGTTTGAGTACTCAAATTTCAACCAATGAGGCACAAGTTCCATTCAAGCACCTATCTACTCTGGCCTTTGCAACAGGGTAGGGGCATCAGCGTTCGTAAAATAAGTATGACTTATAGACTGGTACCCGTTCCGGACAACAGCGCTATAACTACTATGCTGGCAGTAACACCACAAAAAATTCCTCTTCTGAACATGATGAGCTGTTTTTTAAGGTGGGAGTGCTGCAATGAGTCCTAGCCCCCTTGAATAGTGTTTGAATACAATTCCTTTTGTGTGTTATTGGATTTTTGCTGTTGTAATTCAGTATTCGGTCTGTGTGAGTTGATTTTCTATAAACTTGAGTTTCTAATTCCCCTGTGGTTGTTCGCTTGACTAAGACGTTCAAAAATGGGATTTTGTTCTCGAATTCCTCTTCTCTTGTGAATTTGATGTCGTTGAAGACGTTGTTTATTAAGTTGTGAGTTTTAACTAATTCGTTTCTTTTGATCATTACAAGTGTTACATCTGCGTAATGTATCCAAATCTTCGGTTTGATCTTTGGTAGGATGATGTTTTCTAGCCTTTGCATCACTGCTTCTGCAATCAAACCTGATATTGGCGATCCCATGGGTGTTCCTTTGACTTGTTCATATATCTGGCCGTTGAACCGGAAGTATGTTGTTAGGCATAGGTTTATGCATTCCATCCAGCTTGAGTGTTGCATATCACTACATACAGACAATTATTGACATCAATTCGACTGGGAAAACGTTAAAATATTAGACAGAGAAACCACCAAGAATACCAGAGAATTTTTAGAACGCTGCCTGGTACTCCAGTGAATCATCAATCAATAGACGCATCAACATAGACATAACTTATCAACTGATAAAAAAGAAACCTCACACACAAAGGGTTAAAGTTCAAGTCAAAGAAACAATCAGTTACAATACAAGTAGCCTAGAAAGTGTAAAAACACACAAAAGCAACCAATCACATCCAAGGTTACCAACCAGGAGAGATGATTAATAAACTCGTGGAGAAGTCTAAGAGCTCCCCTCATGAAATTGAGGTATACGCTGAAGATGTTGTCTAGTAGAGCGATGAAAGCTTCGCAAATTAACTATCCAGCTCAGAGAACACAATTACA